GGTGCCATACTTGAGCCATAACTGCCATAGTAAATCCTAATCTGGGAATTCGGGCCGTGCCAAGGTTTGGCGTTTCTCTGGTCCGCCAGAGTAGTGCCAAAGTTGGTGCCATACTTCAGCCATAACTGCCAAAGCAACGCCTAATTTCGGTATTTGGGACGTGCCAAAGTTTGGCTTTTCCCTGGTTCGCCACAGGAATGCCAAAGTACTGCCATACCTGAGCCATAACTGCCAGAGAAACGCCCAATTTGTGTATTTCGGATTGCCAAAGTTTGGCGTTGCTCTGGTCCGCCAGAAGAGCGCCAAAGTTGGTGCCATGCTTGAGCCATAACTGCCATAGTAAATCCTAATCTAGGAATTGGGGGCATGCCAAGGTTTGGCGTTTCTCTGGTCCGCCAGAGGAGCGCCAAAGTTGGTGCCATAATTCAGCCACAACTGCCAGAGCAACGCCTAATTTGGGTATTTCGGACACGCCAAAGTTTGGCGTTTTTCTGGTACGCCACAGGAGTGCCGAAATAGTGCCATAAGTGAGCAATAACTACCAGAGCAACGCCTAATTTCGGTATTTCGGCCACGCCGAGTTTGGCATTTCTCTGGTCCGCCACAGTTGTGCCAAAGTAAGTGCCAGACTTGAGCCATAACTGCCAATGCAACGCCTAATCTGGGTATTTCGGACATGCCAAGTTTTGCTTTTCTCCGGTGCGCCACGGTTCTGCCAAAGTAAGTGCCAGACTTGAGCCATAACTGCCGCAGTAAATTTTAATTTGGCGATTCGGGGCGCGCCGAAATTTGGCTCTTCTCTGGCTACCCACTGAAGTGCCAAAGAAGTGCCAAAAGTGGCAAAGAAAGCTAGAGGCCTGCCCAAGTTTTGAATGTCTCTGGTGTGTCAAAGAAGTGCTCTTTTCGTGTGTCAGAAGAGAATTAAATTAAATAAGCGTTGGAAACATAACGGTAACATGTCATCACCTCCGTTCCCAAGCAGCACGGCAATACTTTGCAGTATCGTGCCAGTGCCGGCCGAAAGTCGGTTCGAATATTGCTCAAATGTCCAGTTTTGCACCACCGTTTGATATCCGGCAAGTATTGCCGTACAGCTGTTTTGCCCCGGCCTAGCGTTCGCGCAATACTGTTCGAATACTCTACGATGCGTCTGCTCCGTATTGGCCGAAGGTCGTGCAAGTATGTGTATGTTGCGTTGCATATCATTTGTGGCATAAACAATCACATATTCGGACAAACAAACATTTTTGGATCGCTCCCAGAAGTTTATTAAACCACTATTATTACACACAGTGTATTCGCGACATATTTACAAAGGTCACACTTCTCTGTAAAACAACAAGCAAATTATAAAATAGAATTGACACTGTCCTCATGCCAAGCAAACCTCATCACACAAAAAACCGCGGAGATTGAGAGGAAAGCAGGACTACTATCAGAAGCATGCTTGCAGTGTACTTACTAATAAAAGAGCGATATCATGTAATCCTTGATAGATGCATAATGCAGCTCAGGCACCCCACAAACACACTCGAGAAAGAAGGTTGCGCACATTCAACTGACGTCTCGTCGTCGGCGACGACGAGTTTTTGTCGAAGCGTGTCCAACAAATTGACATGGGCGTATTCCGACCGTTTACGACGAAAAAGCACGGCCGCGTCTGCAACGCATGAAAGCAACAGAACACTGAAGAGTGCAGTTCGAAAACCGGACCTACGTGGCCCGCCTATTTCTATAACTAGGCAAACGGCGAAAACAACAGCCCCAGAGAACCCATCAGCGTGACAGAGAGAGTCACGTGACAAATTTCCGTCCAAACGGTTTTGTCCTACGCGTCCTACGTAGAGAGGTCACGCCGGGTCACGCGTTTCGCTCCACCCTTTTGATTTGCTCAAAGCGGCTGTCGCGCTCGCTGACACCCACACGAAGACACAAAAGCAGGCGGGGGGGATTTGCAAAAGGCGAGATCGAAGGGGAATCAACAACGCATAGAAGGAAAGGCCACTTCTGCCGGTGACCTTGTCGCCTTGCCTAGTATGTCAGCGTCCGGCTTCCATTGTGGGCCTCAGAAAGATAATCTCCTTTCTTGAGAGCGAAATCGAAGGGGTGCTTATGTTTTGCGGGCTTGTCGGCATCCGATAGGCCTCAATTATTTCTCTTCAGACTCGCTCCCTGTGGCCTCCCATGGCTGTTGTGCCGGCAAAATTAAAAGCGCAGCCGGGACATTTTCTCCCGTGAATGACGATCGGGTGCTTAGAATCCGAAGCAGCTCTTTCGGCGTCCACTTGATGTTCTCGGAGTCTGTCGTTGCTTCCTCTCCTTCCCCCAAGATTCCCCTTCCGGTTCTCCCACGGAGCGGGCGGACTTTGAGCTTGAAGCCAAAAATAAATGTTGTTAAAGTTGAGATTGCCCTGTCTGTAACGTCCCTTTTGTGTCTCCACTTTCTAAATGTGTAAAATGTACCAACCCGCTAAAATAGTACAAGTTCCGGGATTTCATTTTCATTCTCCAAGTGTGATGCGGGAGCCGCGCCACGGAGCCCCGGTGGTTTCGCTCTTTGTTATCGCTAAGATTTGACAGTGCTCAATCACAATGCAAGACGCGCACAGAGCCACGCTCGCTTTTGCAATGCGCCGCCTAATAATGATATATCTCGTTTAGACGTGCGGACATCAGTCTCGCGCAGTGCTAGCTCAATGGCAACACTTTCTGTAAAGGCGGATTCACACCGGGAATGTAAGGAGTCGCGCGATCCGACTAAATCGCATCGCAAAAAAAAAAAGTAATTAGTTGGTCAATCTGGCGTGCGCGATGAGCGAGTCCAATGCCTTCGTTGGCGAGTCGCTTCTCAAAAACTCTCGCTCCGAACGCCGTTGATTGGCTCAGCCTCTCCGCGACTAGATGGCATCGGAAAAAGTCTGGTCAGCAAGCTACTGCTCAAATCCAGTCGCTTTTTGCCCGCGATGGTCGCTTATGCGATGAAAGTTATCGCGCGACTAGATCGCATCGCCGGTGTGAATGCGCTTTAATGTCGAACCAGTCTCGTGGCGCGTCCCGATATTGGCGTGTGCACCTACGCGCGAGTACAACATCCGGCACAATTTGCGTTTGCAAAGCCTGGTCCAGCCGCGTCAAAACATTCAGCCAACCTTTGGACTGGAGAAATCAAGAGACACCCAAAATAAGATAAAGTTGCCAGCCGAATGAAACTTGATTTCTATTTAATTAAGATGAAGACCACCCGCGTACAACAAATACCTCATCAGCCGAACTCCAAGGCAGTAAGCCTAGTTCTGGCACTTGTTTGACAACTTTAGCCCGTAGCTGCCAGATGACAGCCGAACTATGGGGAAGCGAAGCCTAACTTTGGCACTTGTTTGGCGACTTTGGACCGTAGCTGCAAGATGAGAGCCAAACTATCGGGAAGCGAAGCCTAACTTTGGCACTTGTTTAGCGACTTTAGCCCGTAGCTGCCAGATGACAGCCGAACTATCGGGAACCGAAGCCTAACTTGGGCATTCGTTTGGCGACTTGGGCCTAGAGATGCCAGATGTCAACCGAACTACGAGGTAGTAAGCCTAACTCTGGCATATCTGTGGCTGTTGCGCTTTGAGGCGCTTTTTCGCTAGGTACTCGTTGAGGACATTGAGGTCGAGAAAGAATAACAGCACAACCGGCTTGTACTAAAGGGTTTATCCGACTGCTCGTTCGCTCGCGCTCGCGAATCCCAACCCCCTCGTCTTCTTTTAGCTCCAGGTTAAATGTCTCATGTCAGTGGTGTTCATTGTTAGTTTTTCAACATCCTCCCCCCGCTCACGAAGTGAGGAAATTGGGGATAAGATTTACAAAGTTTCCAAAGGGTAGAGCAGCTGCACTGGCTGTCGGATTACACAACCAGACGGCAGCTTAACAGCACACGCCCTTACATTTCCATCTCTTCCTGGAAAAACTTCAACGACTCGTACCAAGGTCCAAAGATGCCTTGGGGTGATACGGTCATGCAACAGTACTACATCACCAACGTTCGGTGCACGGCTGCTGAGCGGTGGTGCAAGGTGGGCCGAACGAAGCTCTAGTAGGTATCCTCTCTTCCAACGTACCCAGAAGTTGTTCATGAGCCTTTGCCTATATTTCCACCGGCGTGTTAGTGAATCTCTCGATGACGCGTGGGTTGGCTCCGCCTCTGGAAGAGTTATCAATCGCCTTCCTATGAGTAGGTGAGCGGGGGTCAAGACCGCTGGTTCACTATTATCGGCATGAAGGTAGGTGAGTGGCCAAGAGTTCAGCGCTGCCTCGATGTCAGTTAGTACAGTCGTTAGTTCTTCAAACGACAAGCTCTGCCGTCCAAGAATTCTCCGGAGGCACGTTTTCACTGACCTCTCCATCCTTTCCCACCAGCCTCCCCACCAGGCTGCCCGTTCTACAATGAACTTCTAGGTGACTTGGTTAACACTGCAGAAGTCTTGAGATTCTGCACTGCGAATAGCCTCCCAGAAGGCCGGCAGGTCCCTCGCTGCTCTCTTGAATGTCAGCGCATTGTCGCTATAAATGGTGCTTGGGAGACCTCTTCGTGACACGAAGCGTCGCAGGGCCAAAAGAAATGGCGCCGTGGCCGCGGTGGATACCAGCTGGAGGTGTAGTGCCCGAGTGGTCGCGCAAGTGAATAAGGCAACGTAGGCCTTAACGCACTGCCCTGCTGAGTTGACCAACAGTGGCCCCGCGAAGTCGATTCCGACGACTTGAAAGGGTTGACTCTCTTCCACTCTGTCCCGCGGTAGCGGAGCTACGGGGGCTGTGGCCGGTTTTGCTTGGAATCGTCGACAAATGCGACATTCCGCGATGATCTTCTTCACGGCTCGTCGTGAACTTAAGAGCCAAAATCTGTCACGAATTTCTGTCAAAGTGGCCTGCAAGCCTCCATGTAATACTCTGAGGTGAGCATTCATGACAAGCAACTTGGTGAAAGGGTGATCTCCTAACAGAAGAGTAGGATGTCTCACCTCCTCCGAGGCTGTGGCTTGGTGAAGTCTGCCTCGAATACGCAAGGTTCCTGTGTCGTCAAGAAAGGGCTGCAGATCGGTTATTCTCGATCCTTTTGAGATACATTTGCCTTGAACCAGCTCCTGGATCTCTCTGCCGAAGCATTCTCGTTGAACATTCTTGATCCAGAAAGCTTCTGCATCTCTAATATCATCTGCCGTTAGGGGCAGTTCAGCTGACTTGTTCTGTCGACGACCACCTTGAACAAATCGTTTTATCCACGCTGTGACACGCAGCATGTTGGTATAGCTGCTGAAATTCTCCAATGTCAAGAGTGCGGTTGGTGCACTCACAGTGGTCAGCAGTATTTCCCCGACCTGCTGTCGTCTCTCCCTATCAATTCCGTTGAGGTTTTCATCTTCTGAGGTACTGCCAATTGGCCAGTTTCCTTCTTCTCGGGAAAGCCACTCAGGCCCAGACCACCATAACTGATACGCACTTAGCTGCATTACCGTCTTCCTTCTAGTTAGGGCGTCTGCTGGGTTCGCGCTGCCCGGGCAGTGGTGCCAATTAGAGGGATCGCTTAGTGCTTGTATTTCTGTCACTCGGTTACCGACGAAAGGTTTCCATGCAGTTGCTGATCCTTTAATCCAACCGAGGGTTATCATAGAATCTGTCCAGTACCATAGCGTAACTACGACACCAAACAAAACAGTACACAGATATTTAGCCATGCGTGCCCCCAAGAGGGCTCCCATCACTTCTAGTCGTGGGAGGGTCAGCGTCTTAAGCGGGGCAACTCTGGACTTGGCAAACACCAGAGTGACGCTGACATTTTCTTTTCTGTTCACGGCGCGAAGATAGGCACAGGCACCATAAGCCTGAGGGCTGGCGTCTGTGAAAACGTGAAGCTCCAGCTTGCTCTCACCATCCGCATTGTGTGAGTGTCTCGGAGCCATGATGCGTGGCAAGTCCTTTAACTCGGCGCACCACGTTGTCCACTCTTGCCGTAGTGCTTCTGGTAGTTCTTCATCCCATCCCAGACCATGTTGCCATATACGTTGAAACGAAATCTTTACTCGTATGACATAAGGTGAGAGGAACCCTAGGGGATCGAAGATCCTAGCAGAGGCTTTCAGGACGAAGCGTTTTGTAGTCATGTTTGTCGAGAGAATCTCCAAGAGATGGTCACTAGAGAACCTGAAGGAATCTGTGGTTTTGTCCCACACCAGTCCCAGTACCTTTGTGACTTCGTGGGACTTGATTGACGTGATGTGAGGTGAATTATCGACGTTCCCGTCCTTTTGATTGAATAGGTTCTGCAGTTGGCTGGAATTGGTATTCCATTTGCGAAGTTCCATGCCGGCCTCTCTGAGCAATGTCTGTGCTCTGTAAGCGAGTCTTCGGGCTTCTTCGGTGCTTGCAGCTCCAATGAGTAGGTCGTCCACGTAAAATGAGTCCAGCAAAAGAGCCGCGATGTCTTTGTTCGAATCACTCACGTTCTTTAAGTGATGACGAATTGTCGCTCCAAGTAGGAATGGACTGGCAGTTGTTCCAAAAGGAACTCGCGTCATGCGCCACTCTTTGATATCGGGCAGCGGCTCGCCTGGTCTGGGTGTCTTCTCAAACCAAAGAAACCGGAGAGCATCTCTGTCATACTCTGCAATTTCTATCTGCAAGAAGGCCTTTTGGATGTCAGCTGTGAGAGCCACCTTTTGCATACGAAATCGGAGCAGCACCGGCAAAAGTTCTGTGTTGATGGTAGGCCCTTTCTCAAGATGGTCGCTGAGAGATCCGGTGTTTGGCGCGTGTGATGAAGCGTCGAACACCACTCGAATTCTTGTCGATTCCGAGTTGGCCCGAATCACCGCTCGATGAGGCATATAATAAACGCGTCCATCACATGGGGACTTTTCGTTCACCTCTTCCGCGTGTCCGTCCTCAAAGTAATTGCGTATCGCTTTGTCATATAGTGCGATGGAGCCATCGTGCTTGAGACGTTGGATCAGGCTGCGGAGTCTAGACCCGGCAGTGATGTAATTATTTCCAAGTGTTGTTGCTGTCTCCTTCCAGGGTAGAGCGACTTCGTAGCGGCCATTCTTCCAACTTATTTTCTCTGTGAATTGTTCGAGTACCGTACTATCTTGCTCTTTCGTACTGGTCGGTTCATCCATGATTCCAATGGCCTCCAACTCCCAGAAGTTTCTTAACGCTGCCCCGTCGTCTTCGGCGGTCAATGCCACTCCTAACACGCATACCATCAAGTTCGCGGTAGTATTCGACAAGACTCTCACGGTGCCTGTTGGACCCTGAAAGGTCCATCCTAGGCTAGTTGAAATGGCCACCAGGCCGGGGATGCATGATGAGCGGCGTGTTTCGCCAGTCAACAATCTCCACATTTGGTCAGCGCCGATGAGCAGGCTTATGCCTTCCTCTGCTTGAACGGAGGGAAACATCAACTCGTCAGCGATGGACCCCGTGATTGATTTAAGGAACGAGTGTTCGACGGGTGTTTCGATGAGATCTTGGCAGATAAATGGGACGACAGCGGCTTCTAAAACATACTCCGTCATCGCATACTGGCCTCGAAGTCGTAGTCTGACCAGTGTGAAGTTTTGTTTTATCACGTCCGAGCCGCTGTTGGCAAAGGTGTTAAGCTTCATGCTTCGTTGGCCTATAATTTTCAAGTTAAGTTTCCTTGCCAAGTCTTCTCTGATGAACGTCTTCTGGCTTCCAGCGTCGATAATACCGCGGATATATGCGCAGCTCTCATCACTCACGGCCCAGCTCCTGAAAGTTTGCAGTAGAACGCTCGATGCTCGGTGAGGTGTCGTATTACTGGTGGTGAGTATATTGGCGGTCTCTTCCGGAACTGGTCTTGTTGTCTGCCAAACAGGATTGCACATTGACGAGACATGTCGTCCCCTGCATCCAGAACATCTCGCTTGGCTGCGGCAGTCTTCGGACCGATGCCCTCGTTTGGTGCAGCGAAAACATCTCATGTCTTGCGCTAATCTTCCTTTCTTTTCATCAAGTGCGATGTCAGCAGTACAGGCGCCGGTACTGTGACTCTGCTGGTTGCAAGAAAAGCAGTAGTCGTCTGTCCCGCTCGTTTGTAACGCGAACGTTGATGGTGGATAAACAGTTTGTATCGGTTTAGGAGCTATCCTCGGCACGCTTGCTGGTCTTTTCTCGAGCGGTGCTGATCGTTCTCTGCTCTCAATTTCCACGCGAAGAAACCGCAAAAAATTCGCCAGCTCCTCACCGGCATACGTTGTCGATGCAGCGACGTTGACTGCTCCATCGCCAGACGTGCTGGCCCCCTCCTCTCTGCCGGCGGAAACTACAAGTGGTGTTCCGTAGCTTTTGTGTCGAGGGTAATCCACAACGATGTCAGTTGGAATACTGGACAGGAGTATGTCCACCATAATTGTGGCGTACATCGCGCTTGAAACATCCAAGGAGCGCAAACCGCGAATGCTTGTCTGGACGTGATTGTACAGATTGCACAGTCCTTGGGCATCACGCACTGACTTTACCATTGGAAGGTTTCGAAGCCATTCCAGATATTCCCGCTGAATGTTTTGCTTGTCGCCAAAGCGTTCAGTAAGTATCTCTATTGCATCTCTGTAGCACGCTCCCGTAGCCTGCAGCCCGGAAACGGCACTGGCGGCAGGCCCATTCAGAAGCGACCGCAGGTACTGGAATTTTTCTCCATCAGAGAGCTTGGTGTTCCGATTTATTGAGGCGTCGAATTGCTCCCAGAACGGTTGCCACTGCGTGAGCTCCCCTTGATAGTGTAGAAGTTGCAGTTTGGGGAGCTTCACTCCCGTAGCTGGGGATGGGTGGCCCCTGTCGCCGTCGGCTCCCGTAGCGGATGTGGTTGGCGTTGCCTGCAACCGCGCGATCTTGTTGCGCAGTTCGCTGAGGGTCCTAGCCACTTCGTCTTCATATTCTGCGACAGTGATGTAGTCTGTCTCCAGGTCACTATCGCTGATGTGTGGTTCGATCTCCTCGTTGACTTTACGGAGTTCCTCGTTGCTGGTTACCAGTCTGTCTCTCAGGTTCTCGAGAGAAGAGGCATTGACGGCAACGGACTGGAGCATGGTCGTTATCTCGTTGATTATCTTCGTACTCTGACTGCGTCGGACCTTACGCTTGGTCTTGAGCCGATCCATTTTCAGGTTGATTCCTCAAGTCCAAGTCCCGGGTTTCGGCACCAAATAATTGTTGCGCTTTGAGGCGCTCCTTCGCTAGGTACTCGTTGAGGACATTGAGGTCGAGAAAGAATAACAGCACAACCGGCTTGTGTTAAACGGTTTATCCGACTGCTCGTTCGCTCGCGCTCGCGATTCCCATCCCCCTCGTCTTCTTTTAGCTCCAGGTTAAATGTCTCATGTCAGTGGTGTTCATTGTTAGTTTTTCAACAGTGGCGATTTTGGCCCGAATGTGCCAGATGACAGCCGAACTGTCAAAAAGTTAAGCCTAACTTTGGCATTAGTTTGGTGATTTTGGTCCAAAAATGCGAAAGATCTACCGAACTACCGGGCAGTAATCCTAAATCTTGCATTTGTTAGGCGATTTAGGCCCAATGATGCCAGATGACAGCCGAACTACCAGGCAGTGAAGCCTAAGTTTGGCATTTGTTTGGCGAATTAGGGCCAAAATACCCAGACTGTTGCCAAGGGAGGTCGGGTTTGGCTCTACTTTGGCTTCTTCGGGCTTTTCAATGCCCTAAACTCCCAGACGCAAGCCAAGTTTGGGCCCAGAACTCCTTGCCACCTGGGTGCAGTCGTTCAATAGTAAAAGTCACTTCAAAAATCTCAAAAAGTACATGAAACTTGTTTTCTTTGTGCGTTGGTTACCATTTATTCAAATTTGAACCGGTCGAAATAGGCGTGTGGCTCAGTTCTCCTAAACTGGCAGAAAACAAACATTGCCAAAGAGTACAGGCAACCTTGGTAGGCACCTACTAAAACCCGAGGCAGATAACAAGTATCGCGGTTGTCCGTTTTGGTTCCGTCGCGGGTTTTACCATGTACAGCAAGCAGTAAACAGCTGGCAGCTGGCGTCGTGCTCGAGGAATTTAACCAAATCTCTAGAAAAGCACTGGAAGCTACGCACAGGCATGAGTTGACTTTAATGTTCGCCGGACGAGATACTCTTGTCGTCTTTTATTGTGAGGTTCAGTAAAGAGCGTGCTCTCATTAATGGTGTAATCGGTCAGTTCTGCATTCAGATTAGTTGCAAATGGCCTCCTCGGTTCCGGAGGACTTGCACGCCTGTCATATTCATTTTTTTTTTTTTTTGCTTTCAAGTGCAGTGAGGTATGAAGCATTGAACACCACCACTGGGGCCGGACAGGACGAACGTACACAAATATCTGGGATCATGTCCGTGTATTTCAGTATTTCTATGTCTCGGGATATGTGATTCGCCTTCACTGGCTCATTTGGCACATTTCATCGAGCATACTCCATAAAAAATGCTCCAAACAAGTGTGTATCATCCCAGGTTTAGTACGTTGAAGGGGACAGGATTTCAGGCCTTCCGGCACGCGTTCCTTTTACCTATATAAAGGATTCCAGGTAAATTTCCTAAAATAAGGCGTTGGCAAACATACAAGTGCTATTTGTTTTAGACATTTTTTAGAAAAATTACTGCCGCAGACGCCAGCAGGTGAAGCGCAGAGAATTATGTTCTCGGCGTTCTTTGATGCTTAGATAATTTAGCATACGTCTTTCGCGTTCATTGCAAGTGAAGGCACGGGCCCGAAAGCGGCAATTCTGCACTGTCTTCTTGGCGCGAGCGCGAGCGCATAGAACGCATAATTTAAAGACACGCGCTTGAGCATAAACAATTGAGGCGAAAAGAAAAAAACTTAAGCAACGCTTCGGGGGGGACCGGCGGACGGGCTTGGCTATACTTTGTTTTAGCTTCGGTCCGAGCGCGGCCGATGTTATGAGCCGAAGGGCCAATCAAACAGCGAAACAGGCACAACGTCATGGCCTGCACTCTGCAGTTGATAGGACCCGCCGATATTCGCCGTGTCTATGTGCGTGCTTCTCCGCCGGCTAGTCCTATCAGGCACAGAGAGCACGCCATGACGCTGCGCTTTTTGCGCTGTTTGATTGGCCCTTCGGCTCATAACATCGACCACGCTCGGACCGAAGCTGAAACGAAGTATAGAATCACCTGCGCGTGCTCAGTGCCCTCAACGTGTACTCAACCGCCGCTGAAGTCAATCGGATATGTAAAAAGAGAAAAGAAAATGCATCAGCGTGTTCACAAAGATATGATTGCAAAAATTGGTTTCGATAATTAATACAATTAATTAAACAGTCTTTTGTATACTAGAAGTGTAGGCTAGCGAGAAAACGAAACTGATCAAAATGTGACGTGTAGCGACTATTCAAATTTATTTATAACCTGCAGTTCACTTTTGCAATGGATTACATGAGAGATACTAGCGCTTTCATAAGTGCAGTCGAGGAAAATATTATATACGGGTAAATCTTGCATAGTCTTTTAGTATTTATGCATAATATTACAGTGGTCGCCATCCTAATCGGTCACAGAAAATACAGCAGTATATAAGCTGGTGGTGTCGACTAGTCGTGTGTGTAGAAATTTAGAGAGTCAACATCTCAACTTGTACCTTGTGCTGTTTGTGAACGCGATCATGTATAAAATCCTATGGTGTCTTGCACAGACGCGGTGAGGATTACCAGGTACTTGAAACTGGATAACGAATGCTGACAGGTGAGCAGGAGCGTTGAACGATCGGAACAGACGCCGCTTGAATCGGTGATGCTTCGCCTCGCCGCTGTCAACCGAAAACGCCGGATCACTTGCGGTAAGTACAGCAAGCAGATGCTCTGTTCAATAAATACATCATTCCACTTGTCGTAATCTTCTTTTAATGTTTTCTGGCCGCGAAGTAAATGCAGCCGGCTGCGCGAAAGCAGTCGCGGACAAACCCCCTCGAATGCCCCCCCTCCCGTCGTCGCCCCTACTCGTAATTGTGCGGTGCAGGTGCTTTGAGGCGCGTTTTGGAGTGCTTTAGTGCGCACGGAAGGCAGAAAACGGGCGTACTCACTTGAGAATCGTACTTTTAGCAAAAAGCAGTCCAGCTCGCTAGGCCTTAGTCGTATTGCTCCACTGTCGCTTGCCACCCGCCATGTTGCTTTTGGGGGTGGTCACTGTGACTACCTGTTGATTGCGTGCCGTGTGACTACGCATGAGGTCGTTAGTATAACTAAGGGAGGGGGGGGGGGGGGGGGGGCTAGCGATATCTGTGACGGCTTCTGACTACCCCAAATGTAGTACCCTACGACTACCCATTTGTTGAGAGTGCAGGCCACGCTGAACAACCTGAGAGAACGTTCAATAAACGCAATTCAAACGGCCAGGACAATGGTGGAAATTCTATCCGAGAAACTGGGTGCATCTTGTGTATCTGGACGGAAATGAGGTTGTTCGGTATCGTCAACAAAAAAAGAGTGGCTAACGGTGCGCGTCTTTTCTGGAATTCAGTCTTAGCACGCGTGGCGGCTGTGCAAGTCATCAACAGAAGGGACCTGTGACATATATGTAGAGCAGACAGTCGGATATGCTTAGAAGAAACTTAATTAAATGGGTACATCGAGGAAAGCCTTAGCGTAAAGTGCCGAATTTGATTCCCCAAGGACTGCTCATTTTGAATGCCGGGACATCTTACTCATCCGCTTTCTTCGCGGGGTATTTAAACTACCGTCTCACTTTGTGATAGCTGATAATCTTTATCTGGTCACCATATGAGAATCACGAAACGTTATCCTCGAGCAGGACAAAATATCTCGGCTTGCCACGATCCATGCGTACACCGAGAGTATCGAAGCTATTAAAGTCCGGCGCGGTGGCACCCCTCACCTAAAATTATTTGTCCCCGGAAGTACATAGCTAATCTAAACAATTTTAGTACAGTTTTCTATCTTTATTTTTACGTGTGGAAGTAAATTGCTGTTTTCTTTTCTTCTAAATATAAAATATACCGGAAAGTAAAACTTCACACTGCATCATCTTTTCTCGAATCACTAGGCTAGCTAATATGATACCTTTTCATATGCTGTATGTGAATACTGTATATAGTTTCTCCTCAATTTTACTGTGTGACCGATTGCTCTAGTTGTCAGTGACCTTATCAGAATAAAGATATATGAAAGATGTGTGTCAGTTTCCTGAAACTGGAACTCCAGAGTCACTTCTCGTAGAGAACACTGCGAAACGTTGACATTAAAAAAGGACCCTACTTTGGGGAGTTACATATTCTCTCGCAATAAAATAATGCAACATGATTTCATAGAAATGAATGTCAAAATAGATCATGACAGGGTACACAAATTTAAAAAAAAAATCGAAGGTGGTGTATTTTTCTTTATTCGCATAAGAATTTTTGTTGTTTGATTTTTTTCCAATGTTTGCCTAAATATATCACGGCTATCGTATAACTCAGGTACCTAATATATATTTTAAATAATAGCCATATATAAGTAGGATACTATCTGAAAAGTATATGATGGTGATTAAAGTATTTCATGAGATGCAGGTCTCCAAATTTTGCGTTTTGCCGTTCGAGCAGGCATGTTTGGCAATTTTTAGAAAACTAAATATAATTGAAATAAATAATATTACTATATATTACAAGCAAACTGTACCAATAGTTTGTTTCGGAAGAGTATTAGAATTCTCCTTATTTTATCGTTTTAGTTATTCACTTTCAAAAATGCCCCCTCCATCAGTGCGCGTGAACGCAACTGTCCACCTCTTCATGCCTTACAATTTTTCCTGTCCCCATTTTTGTTTTCTGGTCAAGACTAGGTGCGAGTTCGTTTATACCAGACAATAGACAGTGGCATATAAAACATCAGTTGATTTAAAAATGTCGAGCAGCCACCCTTTGGTCGGTCTTATCTGAAATCACCCAGTTAATATTGTGGGCAAGAATATTAAGACGTTAGAATGCCAATCTTTTAAATATAAATGTTGTGTGGTTGAGGGTCGTGGTCGACTTTGTTGGGCGTTAAGTGTGATGTGTTTAATGCGACAAGGGTTACCGAGAGTTATTGTGGAGTCTGTAGGAAATCGCGTACCGCCGCTTCCCACATGGTCCGTCAACAACCCGAGTCCAGTCTGGTTC